GGGCTATTTAACTACCATATAAGTTTCAAAACAGTCAGTCCACAGTAAAATTCACACAGCCTGCATAAAGTAGCTGTGATTTTTCACGAACCGTTGTGACTTCCGTAAAAAGTTGACGTCAGAACTATACAGTCACCGCCTTCAGTCACCACCCCGAGCACCGCCCACCGTCCCACTCTACTTTTGCCAAACCCCCAGACAACATCGCGTTCATGCCATTGCTGAGCAACAACAACACGAAAACATGTCGAAAAGGTTAACTTTAACCACGAAACCAGATTGGCTGACCTGTAACATTACACTCTCACTCAAAGGATGGAGGATCTGACAGGATTGTTACTATGAGGTGGATCACATCTAACCTGTATAGTAAAGACAAACTCACTGTGTCTATCTAGTCATGATGAAGATGTATATACATTTCAATTTCAGCAGGCAACTATTTTTACAGCTACATTATTGTTCCAGCCACAATTAATCACAACAATGTATATACAATAACAAATGATTATATATAAATTGTCAGATTGTTGTTTTACACACATGCACATTGACATTATTTCATACACGACATAGTTGTGAGATGCAAGAAACATAGACATATGGCAAGAAATCTGTAGACGCGCCCATAACAACAAAAGACAATACTTTATTAAACCTTTTCTGATGTGTGAAGTGTGCGCTGCAAACGCGAGCATTTTTGACGATCGTTTCTGTCCAGTCTGCTCGTTTTATCACGTTTAACCACAGCTGTCGTCGTTTTTTTTTTTCTGGCAGAGGCAGCAGATATGCAAACAAATTTCTAATTTGAGGCTGTATTACGTCAATTCTGGCACCCAACATCACAACAAATTTATATTTTAAGCTCCTTATGTTGCCAAATCTGCGCTGGTTTGAATGGGTCGCCTCCAGTTTCCCCTTTGTTTTGCTGCCTCCAGCTAGCGCTGTGACATCGGCTGACCCTAGTTACCTGTGGTTGGCCTGGCCGTGCATCACTCAGAAAACAACAGACCAATCAGAAAACAGCAGGCCAATCAGAAGAGAGGCTCATGAATATTAGTAATAATATCCTGAGATAATATATTGACATGGTTTTTGGTACTTATACCGCAAATATATATTCTTAAGGACATCAAAACCTAAAATAAAACTCCAGAAAGGTGTAAAATATGTGACCTTTAATGGACATGTGCACGTGGCGGCCATTGTAAGTGCGTGAGACGGCGAGTGGACATGAAGTGTTCCATTTGGAACAGGGCCTATAGTGTTACACAAAGAAACGCATTTATGAAAGCACTCAGATCAGTTTAACATCTTTTGTAATAACATAGTGTAAATTAAGTGATCATGAAGTGCTCTTTAAAGTATTTTTTAAAAGTATTTTAAGGTATTTTTTCTTTTATTTAAAAAATATATATATATATATATGAAGATGTACTTGTTTTATAAGATGTACTTGAATTATATGGTAATTCAAAGGATTGACTTTAATCTCTCTCTGTTATAGTTCAGTTCATCAGAAGAGATCAGAAGCAGAGTCCAGCTGTGTGTCTATGAGGAGTGATGCGTCTATGGATCAATCATTAGATTATAAAAGTGAAGATACAAAGACTGATCTCAGGTCTAATATTTCTGTAAAAGATTATTTGATTATGAAACAGAATACATTAGCTTAGCTTATTTAATAATGCAGTATTTAAATTTTCCAGGCATGAAGTCCTCAACAGGTTTAGATCAAATCTGATGAAGAAGTTTGAGCGTCTGTATGAGGGAACAGCGATGCAGGGAAACCCAACACTCCTGAATGAGATCTACACAGAGCTCTACATCACAGAGAGTGAGAGTAGCAGAGTCCAGCTGTGTGTCTATGAGGAGTGACAGGTCTATGGGTCATCCAGATAATTTTAAGAGTGGAGATACACAGACTGATCTCAGGTATAATATTTCTGTAAAAATATGATTATAGTATGGCATTTTATATTGTGAAAGCACTCAGTTCAATAAATTTTTTTGTAATAACAGTGTTTACAGAAGAAATGAGTATGAAGTGTTCTTTAAAGTGATCAAGTAATAAACATATAGGCCTACATATGTTCTTAAATATGGTAATTCAGATGATTCACTTTAATCTCTCTGTTACAGTTCAGTTCATCAGAAGAGATCAGAGACCAGCTGTGTGTCTATGAGGAGTGACTCATCTATGAATCAGTCATTAGATTATAAGAGTGAAGATACAAAGACTGATCTCAGGTCTAATATTTCTGTAAAAGATTATTTGATTATGATACAGAATACAGAAAAGACACTGTGCTTATTAGCTTATTTAATAATGCAGTATTTTAATTTTCCAGGCATGAA